CGACGGCACATAACAACAACAACAACAACAAGCCAATAAATGAGAGTTAATACAAGGTGTGAATTTTACAAAAGTTATTACTAGTGTACATTGTTTGCATATTTCAGGCACCTCCTTAGAGACTTTTAGATTCCTGCCCTCAGTGAAGACCACAGGACAGGAGTGAATGAATACCTGTGAGATCCAGCTCTCTAACTAAAACAAAATCTACTTTATAATTAAGCAAACCATGTAATTTAATTCCAGGGGTGAGGTTTGAAAAAGCAAAAATCAAAACTGGAAATAAAGAAAAGTAAAGAAAAAAGCCAGGTAACTTTTTGTGGATAATTTTGATCATGGTTTATACATGTCAAATCAAGTAGAATTATACATTAAGCTAGTATTCTACTGAAAATATTTGTTTTTTTCCAGTTCTGTCACAATCAGCAATGCCTAGTTATTAAGTTTTACTACAAAGATTCTAGAAAAATGCCCATTACGTAGCTTTGCCTTTGTGAAGGGACTCTTTTTGTTATGGTGCATATCGATTGTCACTGCTGCCAAAGTTTTGCAAAATTCCCCCAGGATTTAAGGAAAAAAAAAAAAGTCATTTCTAGAATGATTAATAACCTTAAGGTTTTTTTTCTCCCTTTACTCTGAATGAAGAGTAATTTTTTAAGATTGCCTAAAATCATTTTTGGGCTGAAATTTTAACTAGTTTGTTAAGCTGACTCTAACACATTCATATACTAAGCACTGTACATTATGCACTTAAAATTCATATCCTTTTAGAATTTTATCAACAGAGTTCTATATACTGTTTATATTTCTATTGTCCTCCAAAAAAGATATGTGCCTTTGATCAGTTTCAGATTAAAATTAATAGATATTTTTAAAAATATCATTTAATTTTTAAGTTAAATAAAATTTCTTCAACAATTTATACTTTTTAGCATCATCACCTAGTGTTTGCTTTTGGTGGGAGAAGAGAATACACAACAAAGATCTAAATAATAATTTCAACAGATGAACTTTGCTGTTATGCAAATGCCTTTTGTTTTGTGCTCTGGTGAGCAAGCTACTGTACCAATGCTTTTGGCATTAGTACAAGACTGAATCCATGGAAGCATGTGTGTATTTACACAAAAGAGGCTTCTAAGCTACAAAACTCCCTCCTGTTTGGTTACACTAATTTCCCTTGAATGAAGTTTGTATGCAAGCCAAAACAATGGTAGTTATCCTGTCCTCTAGAGTTCATTCCCAATAGAATGAGGTGAATAATTGAACACTTTCTAGATTGCCCAGTAATATACTATTTTTATTTCTTTCCCTATAATCCTGATTCTTTGATCATTAAAAGAAAATCAGGATATTGGTAATTGGAATTTTTTGTTAATATGCTAATCCATTCTTCAGCATTTTCCCATCTCTTCTCATTTTCTGATCTATTTAAATCTGATGTGGTGGTTAAGCTAAGCATCCCATTGTGGCATTCAAAGTATTTCAGGTGTGTGAGGCAAATGGAAGCATCTCAACAATATAATTAAGAGGATACAGGGGGAAATGAAAAGCTGACACTGAATTCAAGATAGTTTGGGCCAAAGGCCAAAACCCAGAACTCAGTGTCTCTGGTGAGTACCTAAGATAGCAAATGTGTGACTTTTGTCAGTAGATGGCTCTGTTCAACACAGAGTCAATTCAGGGTAAATTCCTGAATCTGCAAAGGAGACAAAACATTCATTGTCTTACCTCAGCTGCACTGGGTCCTAGCACATGCACCATGGGTGGCTGTACTCCAGCAGGTCGTGAGGGTCTTGTGGTCACTTCTGCCCAAGCACTGCTGTTTGTACCTCCATTAAAAGTGCTCATCAGTATCCGGTATTCATATTTTGTCCACGGGCTAAGAGCAGGAGTGTTGTCAATAAACTTCATGGGATGATGCCTTGGGAGATTCACGAGTGTAGTAACTTCTTCCTTCCCTTTAGCTCTTCTTTCAATTGTGAAATTCTCCACTAATCCATTGGGATAGGTAGGAAGTTGCCAAGATATAATTACAGATGTTGGTGTATCAGAGAACAGCTCTGGACTTGGGATACCTTCTGGAGCATCTGGAAGTGTCCATACAGTCTGAGACTCTGGTGAGAGAGAACATCCTTTTGAAGTACAGGCTTCTACCTGAAACTGGTAGGCAGTATATGGGTACAAATTGACCACTGTGCAAGTAGAGACATTTCCAGAAGTTTTCAAGTAGAGATGACCATGTTGGTAAATGTTATAATGAGTAATGACCCCATTGCACTTCAGAGGATGCTGCCAGGTGACTGATATCATTCTTGACCTCACATCTAGAAGAACTGGAGGGTCTATAGGTCCAGGTCCTACAAAATAGAATAAATCAAATAAGTGATACCTCTTGGAAATTTCTAAGGACATTTCCCACGTCTTCTACATCTTAAAATAAAGCTGAATGATTATGCTCCTTAAAAACCAAACCAGCTGCAGTTGAGTCAATTCCAATTCACGGCGATCCCATAATGCAGAGTAGAACCACTCCATAAGGTTCTCCAGGCTGTGACCTTTTGGGAAGCAGATTTCCAGGCCTTTCTTGCCAGGTACTTCTGAGTGGATTTGAACTGCCAACCTTTTTGTTAGTAGACAAGCACTTAAGTGTTTGTGCTACCCAGGGACAACTCTCCTACAAGGGTATGAAAAGGGATACTTGATAAAGGCCAATAAGTAAATAAATAAATGGCATAAAGGAGCAGGACTGCATTGCTCCTACATACACTGGAAATACTTATTGAGTATTGTTGTTGTTGTTATGTGCCGTCGAGTCAAACCCAACTCATAGCGACCCCTCCTTGGGTTTCCGAGGCAGTATCACTACGGAAGTAGGATTGCCCAACCTTCCTTCTGAGGAGTGGCTGGTGGGTTTGAACCACCAGCCGTCTGGTTAGCAGGCAAGTGTCTTAACCACTATGCTACCAGAGCTCCCAAAACACAACGCTGTGTCAGAAGTGGGATTATTGAGTATTAGTGAACTGAAATTGGCATTGTTCTTTCTAAGGTAGCTTTATTAAAATCATTGGTTTTCAAACTTAAAGCTAATGGTTGAAAATGTCTTGAGGATTGTTTTGAAATAAGGATATGAGAAGAGATATACACAAGAGAACAGTGGTAACCAAAATTCTAGCTTGCAACGTATTCTTTCTAGAGCCCCAGGAACTAATTATAATCAATAACACTATCATAACAAACCTGCATATTTTATAGCCCAGTAAAATCCTTCAGCATCTCTCATTATATATTCCATATTATGCTGGGTTCTGTTTATCATTCTAATCCATATTTTGCAATTTATCTACTCCCTGTTAATATTATAGGTGATTTTTTACTGTGACTGTGACAGAAGCTGCCGATTTAGCTCTTTCACCTACTGATAAATAAACAATGCACAGATCTGACCTTTAGGTTAACAGGTTTTATGCTTGCTCCACTCAGCACTCTAACTGATTCAATTATCATAAAGGTTCAGGAGGCTCCATGAATACTGAAAAAGGCCCACCATATGCCTGCATAGGTGTTGTGGAACTGCAAATATTCTGCAGCCCTCCAGAGAAATTCCTTAATTGTAAATAATTTCACCATGCGACACAATCAAGTCACCTTGAATGCAAACCCCTCAGCCTGCGGAGGCAAAGTGTTATTTAAGCTTTACTGGGCTGCGTTAAATTCTGCAATTTGAAGGGCTGTTAAGTTTTTCAATTGAAATTTCATTTAAAATGCAGGTGCTTTTTATTATATTGAGGCTTTACTGCTCTCTAGGTACAAGCAAGAACATGGTGCAATAACACAAATCTGGCTCAATCACTGATCAGTAACAGCTGTAATTCCAGAACATTTAGCATTCTTATAAACCATGGCCTGAAATCTATAAATTGCTACAACAGATCAAGAAAATACTATATCCCCTTTTCTGCCCACAGCAATTTTGACATTTATGAGATTTCTTCTGTGAACATTAGATTTTATTGAAAATCTTTAAAAAAGATATACTTGGATTTAGTAATTGTTTAAAACAGCTTTGATTATGTGTGTGTGTGTGTATGTGCATTTCAGTGTTAAAGCAAAGGTTTAAATTTTAAATGCAACCACTACTTCACAAAAGCCAGTGATGGCAATGATAGCTGGTTATAGGATGACTTGCATACAACAGGATTCACATATTTGTCACCAACAGGACTGATGGTAGAAGCATAATTACTTTTTGAGGGGAAAGCTTTTACAGGGCACTAACCCTGAAATCAGGCCATTTCTGACAATTTGGTAGTGCATCCCCTTTGCAGAGAAAAATCCTAAAAGTACAGTGATCTTAATACGGATCACATTTCCCGTTTAGTCTGTTGTTAGCTTTTATTTCAAAGCTTTCTTAAGACCATGGTGACATTTCTTACTTTTGCTCTCTGATATACACTAGCAGTAGCAATTATTATATGAAAATGGGGATACAAACACTTTCTTTCTTATACTTGTTATCAATATTTGGCTATTTCCCAAAGAAAAGCAACTGTGAGTATTGTAAGATATCAATGTTTTGGAAAACTAAATCCCCTGAGATTTGGGGGCTGCAAAATCACTGATGGAGATTCAAGTCTTTAATGTTTAACCCTGGCTCACTCTCTTCCCCCCTGAAAAAAACAATAAAATACATTTGAAAATTAGAATTTGTCTGTTAGAGTTTTTGTCAGGGTTTTGCATCATCATCCCTCCTGAGTGAACTATCAAACCGTGAGCTTCTTCAGAGAAAACAAGTAACAATGATACTGTTTGTTCTGTGTTACGACAGGATAAGCCTGTTTTTTTCTATCTGCCTGCGATGATACTATTATAGGTGAAACATTCGTGATAATGAGATGAACTTGCACTTCAAACCCCCACAGAACACAGCTTTTCCTTAAAGATGATCTCTTATCTTGAGAAAGAAGATATTTCAATTTCACGATATTTTCCCCTTAAAAGCCAGCATACATTTTATTAGCTTCCCACTCTAGCTGAGTAGTCTCCCTGCTCTCTTTGGGAGAGAGTCCTCACACTTGTGTAATTCAGGAGAGGAGGCTGCAAGCAGCTTAATTAGCTCCTTTGGCCAGGGAAGTGTTAAAACCTGACTCCTGGCACTCTTTCAATTTAATGCTTTCAGATGATAAGCGGAATCATCTAATTCTATATACAAATCAACTGGCATGCTTCTGCATGGTTGAAAGGGTCACCACAATTATGTAAAACATGAGTAATAACTATAATTGGGGTAGTTTGCTAATACAATAAAAAGCTCTGAACATGAGAAAAGTTATTCTCACAGCAGTAGCTATCACTTTCTAAAGTAAGAATTCATGGATGAAATGACATGAAAAAGATGGTTATAAAATTTTAATGGAATGATAAAAGGCAAAAGTCAGCCTCTCAGCTGAATTCTTAAAATCCCTATATATCACAATCAGCTCCTTAACTGTAAAATCAATGTGGAGTATAACATGTTGTCGATGCTGCTGTCACTGGAGGGGAGACTGGGAAGCATGACAGCCACACAGCTCAGCTGGCCAATGAAAATACAACCATAGAGCCTTCTCCGTAGGTATAATTGTTTAGAGAACTCCCCCCTCGAGCTGGGAACAGGAGCATCCTTTCTGTTCACATCACAGATTTGTATTTTAAGCCATTCCATTACAGCATTAATAATGGAAAGCAGTTTCATTTTGGCAAATGAAATTATCTTTTATGGGAGACTATTTTGCTCATCAGTTTCAAAAGTTCAACTTCAACCTAAGAAGAGAGGAATAAAACTGTTAACGGAGGGATTGCTTATTTACTTTTATATTCAAGTATGTATAGAGGGCGGGTGTCCCTGGGTGTGTTTGTGAATAACCAGCCTGAAAGCCTCACAACTTGAGTGTCCATGTAACTTTCAGTGGTTTTCCTGGGTCTTCTATGCTTGTTTGCTATTAAGAGTTACCCATGATTGCTTCAGTTTGCTTGTTTTTATCATTGTTGCCTGAAGCAACTTTTTTACCATTCTGATTAAAAACTCACTCAGATTAAAACCTCCTTTTGGTAATATTAACTCCATAAATGAATACTCCGTAAATTTACTGATGAATTAAAAATCAAGGTGGCAAATATATGGATGTATAATTATATAAAGCAATATATTATAGGTTAATTGTTAATGTAGCTCTTTGATATTCACTACTGATATGTTAGCAGAAGAGTAGAGTGATGGATTCTATCTTCCCTTTAATCATGAATTCTTTTATCAATTTATTATTTATACCCTAACTACTTCCCAAAAGGATTTTTGACAGCTCATAATAAAAGACCTAACTGTAATAGGGCCAATAAAATAAAGATAAAGAAATATCAATCTTGTGATGAAGCGGATACAATAGTTGTAACTGAAAACAAATACTATGAACAGGTATTGCAGTTTTGCACAAAAGTGAACTTTTAGCTTCTTAACAACTGATAAAAGAGGACATGAGCTGTTTTACATGGGTATGATTATTTATTAAATGGAACATCTGAAGAAGGTTATTGGGATTGACAAAAATACCATTTGAATATCTGTAGGACCAATATTGGTGAACTATTTTTCTCCACTTCTGTCAAGGTCAGGACAGTGGAACATAGGTTAGGGGGAATTTTTTTACTTCCAAAACTGGGGCATAATGTGTGGAATCTTCCTGGAAAGTTTGGGACAGAAATTAAATGAGTTGATGTGAGAATTAGAAAAACTAGAGGTCATTCGACTCATCCCTTATCTTTAGGCAAAACTTCACTTGAGTTATTCCAAATATACTAATTAACTTTGTTTACCAAAGAGACTGCCTAATCTCCTATAGTAACTGAATAGTATTCTTCTTTGTATTTACTTATTCAGTCTTGGAAAATTGGGGTTTAGGAACATTATCAAACGATTAAAAGTATCTATATTGTTTTAGGATTATAAAATGTTCTTTTATGTAAATAAACAAGTGCTGTATAAAATGCTATTTTATATAGAAAATGATTATGGTCAACATGCAGATCTTCTGTTAATAACTCATAGTTTTCAGAAAATTGGACTCTCCTTCAATTTAAGATTTGATACACTTTAAACAAAACATGACATTATATATCAATGTGTGACAATTAGCATTTGATTATCTTGCATAGTCCACTGATAATTTTGAAATCATGATAGTTTAATTATTTTAAAGCTAAAGAAATTGTTTAGTGAATGGCCAGCAGACTGCTCTCTGGTTCAATGAGAATATTGGTATAAAATTCCTGTGAAAGTACCTTGCATATAACAGACATTCAAGAAAATTAAAGAAATAATAAT